AATTCCAAAAACATAGGAATGAGACATTAAAAAAAAATGTTTCTCTAAAACTTATAATTTTAACATAGATATCAATCAAATTCCTCTTTCTGGAATCGCGCAGGGAAAGATGCGTGAACTCCGTGAAGACATTTTTGATTTCATTTCGCATATGGAAATGAAATAAAATTATAAGTATTTGGTTCATATCACTCGTAGAAACAAGGATGGACTAATGAAAAAAAAAAAATTTACTGAATATAAATATTTTTGGGATGACTTCAGCAAACAAACTTGGGGGGTTGATAAATTATACTGAAAAAAAATCTTTGAAGTGTTTCATAATAGGTAAATAATATGACATTTATAAAAGAACTTTTACAATTTAAAATTATTCTAGGATATTAGTTAAATCTTTTTATCTGCATTTGAGTTTGTATGGAACAGCTTTAATAGTTTCTTTTATACTGAACAAAACGGTAATATTATTAATGCTGTGTAATGCAGAATTATTTAAAGTAATGAAGAAAATACTAAATTTAGTTAAAAAATAAACGGAAGTAGGGTTTCCAAAACAAAGTGGTTTTATGGCAATCATCCTTTAATGTAAATTTTATTAACAACTAAAACATAGTAAAAAAAGAAACACATTGAGCTTTGAATTTTCTTTTACTTTCAGGTCCTCCTTTTCGCAATCTGTAAACATTAATAAAGGAATTAATGATTGATTATAATCTATACAATACATCATAACTAAGCAATGCTAATTAGCTCACTAAATATTTTTTATTAAGACAGGTTGTGCTTACATAATGAGAAATTTTAAATTAAAAACTACGATATTTTTGCAAAAATTGCAATTTTGGAATTTGCAATTTAATAAATGTACTAAACGTGAAATTTATTCATATTTTCCTTCTACTTTTTTATTCACAAGAAAATCATTATCTTTTGAGACTTTTACTCATCTGCGGGACCAATTTCACACCATCTGTAAATATCAATAAAGGAATATATTGTATTTATAATCTATGCTCAAACTATTCTATAACTAACCTATGGCAATTATCTTTCCAATTCATATTTAATAAGCCATATTTTACTTACCTATAACAAACATTATATGAAAATTTTAAATTGGCCATTACAAAAATATAATTGCATTTTAGAAATTTGCAATTTAATGAATATGTGAAATGCTAATTGATTCATTCAATTTTTTTTCTTCAAAATTTGTATATTTTATTCACACTTGAAAAATAAATTCAGAAACCATTGTCTTTCTAGGCTTTTTTTCTTTTCTCGATCAGTTTTTTCACCATCTGTAAATATAGGTAAAGAAATGAATTATATAATATATACAATAGAGTATTATATAATCAATATATATATTTATTTACATATAATAAACCATTTATTACCATTACCATTCATTTACAATAGTAATTATAGTGTTTATCCAACATTTTTAAACCCTTGGTACAACAACAATAAGCAAAATCCCGTGTTTATAACCTCTATATTCCTTCCCGCAAAATTCGAACGTTCCTTTCACGCCCGTTCCACTGCCTTCTGAAGTTGTCTGGCATCAAATATTCGCCATGATTCTCTCTTATTCTTATCCCATTTCTTCCTTTCCCATTTACCATCATCTTTTCACGTCCTTAAGAGATGCTCTTCAATCGTGAAATTTTAATTAAAGTATACAAATTAGATTATAAGTAAATAATGTATAAGTACTAACTTAAGGAATCAATTAGATTTTTTTTCTCTTCTTTTTAAATTTGTTTAAAAATTTATTCGTTGCTATCGAATTCATTCTCAGGATTTTTTTTTATAGAATATTTTTAATGTAGTTTTTAGCCAATTACGTTTTCTGCTTATTTGTACAAGTTTATTATTAAGGGGCCCAGTACAGTTTGTTTTCTATCTTATTTATTGTAATTATTGACTGAACAAGCATAAGCGATTGTTTCTGTCTCAACTCAACCGTTCAGTATTTGATATTTTGGGGATTTTAATGCGGTAAGTGGCAAATTTATGCACAGACAGATTAGGGATTTGCCACTTCCAAGGGCAACTATATCATCTACCTATCCAAGGATTTTATGATTCATCCGACGTGGAGCCCTGTATTTTCGTTGATGTCTTTACCACCTTCTCCATCCAACGCCATCTCCCTGCCGTAAGCCCGTTTGAACTATGAAGGCTTCAGATGCTTCTCCTTTGAACATTTAGGATCATTTTGACATTTAGCGTCATTTGAAGACGCCTTTGTCAATCTCACCAACTTGCCGGGATCTCCCAGTTCTGTCATGAATTTCCAAAAACAGTTTCTGTCCACAGAATCATAGACTACTTTGAAATCGACATGACGTGTGTTAAGTTAAAGCATCTTATATGGTAACTGTGTCCAGCTGTTGTAAACAAAGCAGGCCGGTTTAGGTTATGTTACCAACAGTAGTAGTTCTCTTTGTTTATGATTGTGACATGTTTATGTAAAGGAATGAAGGTGGTTTTATGGTGAAGATCGTGTAAGGTTATTTTATTAAAGTCTAGTTATTTTATTAGAGCTACTTTTCTCATCGTTCTTCTAGTACTTGTTTTAGGATGAAGATCTGATCTAGCGTGCTCCTCCCTTTTCTAACCCAGCTTGATGACCGCCTATTATATTTTCGTAATACGGTTAAATCTGGTTTAGTAGGATATTGGTAATTATCTTTTAGGCAACCGGTAGAAGTGGTATGGTTCTGTAATTACTACATTCATACATGGAGCCTTCTTTAAGATAGGGCAGATTAGCCTCTGGTCCAGTATGCAAGCAGCTGATGATATCTAGAAATTAACTTCATCATAATCAGGAACAATAATTATTCCTATCCTTAAGAAAGGCTCCATATATGAATGTACTGATAACAGAGAGATATCGCTCCTTTCTATTGCTACAAGAAAATAGCTAATATACTAATAAACCGGAAATATGGGTATTATGATAATGAAATAAGCATTTTATTCACCAAGCTCAATTCAGAAGAGGAACGTACTCCTTCCTCTAGACCGATCTTCATCATAAAAATTTTGCTCAAAAACGATAGGAAGAAGTTCAGAATGTGCTCGCCTTATTTGTCAATTTCAAAATACCCAATGATTCGGTAAACAGAACCAAAACTGTCTTTGGAATATCATAACTGAACTGCGAGTTGCCAAGAAGTTAAACACATGATCCTAAATATAAGAAGTACCAGAAACCTTCAAAGTTCAAACTGATTTGCGGTGGGAAGATTGACTCTCGCCAATGCTGTTTAAGTTAGAGTTGGAGAATTTGATAATAACACCATGTGAAATGGAGGGAAATGAATGAATGGACGACGGAACGAATCATAAAACCTTTGGATATGCAGAGCATAGCAGATATTCATCCTAAAAACAGGTGTCTGACAAACGATGGAATGTAGCTCCGGATACGCTCACCTTATTTATCGAACAGCCTATAATTCGGTGGACTGAAATATCTTTGGAAGATCATGACAAATGTAGGAGTTCCTGGAAAATCAGTCAGATTGATGAAAGTGCGTACATACAATTCTGAATGTCGAGTTCCCCTACAAGAAGTATCTAAAGACTTTAAAGTTCGAACTCATGCAGATACTCTTCACCTTAGCCCTAGGAAAAGTGATGTAGACATAACAAAATGATACGAATGAATAAAATAATCCTAGGATATGTAGATGATATAGCTATTATTGAAAGCTATCGAGAGAACATTGAGAGACTTACTAAGGCTCTGTTGAGAGAAGCAGAGAAAATTTCCATACAAGTAAATGAAGATAAAACAAAATATATAAAAGTAAGCCGAATTACACGCCAATAGCCAGGGTCTTCTAAGAAAGGAAATCGTTCCTGAGAGTAGAAAAATTCAAATAGCATCGTTCCTCGATAACAGGGATGCCCAGAAAGGGGTTTGATGGCAACCTCCGCCATCAAAATTTTTGAGAGGACATATTCTGGCATGTTTTTGAATATTTGAGGATGGGGGGCAAATTTCAACAGGGTTATGAATTTTCAGAATGAAAAGTTCCATACTAAGAGACAAGGGGAAAACATGGAACACAGCAGCAAGTTTAATTGTATATTTTCGATTCTAATTCGACTACGATTTTTCTAATTCTGCCTTCGCTTGCTCTGTTTTTAAGAAAAGGTGAGCAATAAAATATCTTGGGGGTTGGGGAGTAGGTTCTTGCTCCATCGACTTTGGGGGCACCCCTGCTCGATAATCTCAATGACTGACCAACGGTCAGAAATAGACCTTCTTCAGGCTTCATATTTTGACTGAAGGATGTATAACCAAGGCAATGGCCTAACGTAGTATAACTGGGGTTCACTGATTTAAACATGTGGTGTTTTATGCTTTGTGGAACTCCCGACTTCTCTTCCGATCTAAATAGTAACACCAAAATCTTCCTGTTACAACTTGGGAAAAATAGAGTGTAAGATAAAAAATGAAAAAATCTGGTGCGATGCATCAAACAACTTTCACTTACAAACCTACTTTATTAAAAATTAATTTAACAAATTATTAAAAACATCACTTTTATAAATATAAACGTAAGACAATTAGAATATGTAAGATATGACAATTATATAGACTACGTATTTTTGATTTATCATGCTGAAAAAAATTAATTTTTTTATATATTTTCTATGGAAATTTTTATTTTCCATTCAGTAATATAAAGTAGATATTATTCCACCCAGTAGATATTATTAACTACAACAATTAAAAGTAACTAGCTTTTCGCCACTCCCAATAGCTAATAAGCTTATGTGAACTTTTTTAAAATACTAAATAATAAACACTATACATACAGTAAAAAAGAACAAAAAATAGAGAATTAGTACTATGAATAAAATAATTTCATGGGGTATATCAAAGAAAAGGAGGTGAGATATTGTCAAGTTCTAGGATATATTTTTAAACAATTATAAAAAATAAATAACATATTTTTTTTTAATTGTTTTAGCATCGGATTCGGACCAAGAAAGGATGGTGGCCGAATTAAAAGATACCTTACTAACAATAAAAACAAAAAGACCACCGATAGTAAAACGGAAGACACTTGTTGCAATTGATGTGATGTCAACACCCGAACAAGTATCATTATGGTTGAAAGAAAAAGGATTCAATGAAAGGTAGATATTTTATTATTATATTTTCTTCTTCAGAGTAAAAATAAAAAGTTAATACAGTATGTGCCCCTGGTAAAGAAAATATTTGTGAGGACGTATTTGTTAAGCATTCCGCCCATCTAGTTTAAAATTTATGTTTCATGTTAGCATTTTATATACTTTATTGAAATTCTAAATTATCGCTGTTAATTATTACTAATTGTAACATTATTGTTGCGTGTATTTCTTAGTCAGGAATGCATATCATTAATGGGCTAATATACTTATATTAGAGAAGCATTAGAACGGTCTTAGATTAGAGAGCATTATCAAGGTCCCAGGTTCAAATTCCAGCTTATGGCAGATAATTTATTTATTCTGTTTCATCGACTACGGATCCATCTGGGTTCGGGAGACCCTTCTGGGACACAACCAGCTTCTATAAAGAGGGTAATCTTAATTAAATAAGGAGAAAAACCTGACGGTTGACGAGAATATAGTTTCGCCACCCCCTCCCATAATTTGAGGGAAAAAATTAAAATCAATAAACAATAAGCTAAATCGATTAAAAAAATTCGAGTAGCTAGCTAAGCTAGTAATAGGTATGTAACGATTTTATTGATACCTAACTATCACTTTTATTTTAATTGTTATTTATATTCAAAGCTAATAATATACTGGGTTTCCCGTAAGTAGAGGGAAATATTTAAACAGGCAATAGTAGACCTCTATAGTTATAAAAAATTCAAATAAGCAATAAAAGAGATTGTTTCTTAATGCGTAGTATGTCCCAAACCACAGTCCTGCTCCACGCTAACTCCTTATTCTTTGTATGTAGCTTTGATGCCTCTTGTCTATCAGCACGTGGGCTAATTTGGCTTTTTGCTCCTTTAGATTTTACCAGGTTACTTATGTATGTTCTGTGTGGCGGAAGATCGTACTGCTCCACTACTATACCTTTAGCTGCTGCCGAGACTGATACATCCACTCCATTATCACTGCTAATTCGTGGAGACTTTGGCCTCCAATGAGGGCCTAAAATTGTTCTCGACCTATCTTGGCATTGAAGTCCCTCCCATAATTAATTTTATGTCATGTTTTTGGAGCCTGGGTCCACAAATTTTTCAACCGATCGTAGAAATCGTCCTTCACTCATCTTCCATTTCTTCGGTGGTGCATACACTTTAATAATTGTGATTATAAACCAACTACCTCTTACGCACAGCACAATTATCCTTTCATAAACTGGGGTGAATTTATTACTGATTCCCTATGCGGCAGATAACGTAAGAATCCAGAGCCAGCTGTAGAAATGTGTTAGAAAAGTGTGTGACCGCCTATGAGTGGATTCACCAGCAACGTGGGCCAGCCTTACCTCATTATGGCTGTTTACGGTATGGTTAGCACCTTTTTACTTCATTTACTAAAGTTTGACGCGTCTGGTCTGTATAGAGCCCGAAACATTCCATGATCCTATATGGAGTCCGCTTTACAAAGGCGGGGTCGTTACCTTGTTGAGACAGTCAGATTTTTGGTTTCGTAATATCGTGTTTTATGCCCAAGCCCCAACCTGGAGGACCAAGAGGTATGTCAGACACAGCGACGCTCACCCCCCTGTGGTGTGAGTTGCCTCCAGTATGTTAAACCCCCCTGCAGCAACTAAAAAAATATATCCATACAAGTATTATTATATAATATGGATGGATAATTCCTGTAATTATCTTTTGTTTTATATGTGTATATATATATATATATATATATAAATTGAACAGGCCTAACAAGGGGACTACTTATACATCATTTTATATAGTTTTTTTTCGTCAAAAATAACTACGGTTATACAATAAAAAAAAAAACAAATTAAAATCCTGAAACTACCATTCTGCCTCTGTAATTACTTACTATACTCATCTTAAGAGTCTTCTTAAGGAAAAAGCAGATTAGGACAAAAAAATGGTGAATAATATAGTCATTGCCATTAATACAGTTTTTGGTCATATTTGGAATTTCATTTCTAAAACTGAAAAACTTATTTATAAATTTATTGATATATCACATTCCTCACAAGTCAATTAAAATGAAAGAAGGGGGGAAAACACAAAAAGAACATATTCTTTATTGAATGAATGTTTGGGTGATGCAGGGAAGTCATCCATAATTGGATTTCTTTGATCATTCATGTAATCCTGTACTTCACAAATATTAAAAGTTTTATCATTATTTTTAATAAAATAGGAAATAATATTCTCTTAAATATTTAATTTTTGTGCTACTACTGTCTTATTCCGATGCTCAGTTTAATATTTTTATACTACTAAATTTAATTAATTATATAATCATTTAAAATATAGTACGAATCAACTGATTTGACCTAAATTGTGGGATTTCTCTCACAAAATATAGTTGAGGCATTGTTGGAGAAGAAAAATATTTATTATCATGCAAACATCAAGTTGTTATAATTTAATTCAATAAAACCAACAGAAAGGAATAAAACAAGTAGATAGATATGTGGTAGTTCTTGATTAAAATATGTGTAATTTAGGAATTTGTTTTTGTCTCCTGTTTTCTAATCCTGTGAAAACCAATCAAAGAGATACTGGTAAATCTAATAAGCAGTTTATTGAAAAGTAGGTCATCTGTAATTTTCGATGAACTTTTGTTAGAATGTAACTCGATGAACTAAAACCATAGATGTGAGAGAGGTTCTAGTTTAGCAATTATTGATGTCAAGTGCATCAGTGGACATGAAAATGAATAAATTAACATTTTCTTATGAACTTATTTAGAATAAGAGAAATAAAAGCCATTATCATAACTGTGTACTACTGTGCAAATATTGAGGCAAAGTTAGAGAGAAAATCGATATTATGTAACAGGAGTGTTTTAATAATAATTTAAAACATTTAATTAAGCAATTAAATAAAGAAGAAGCCTATTTTTATCTATGGATAATTCATTTTCACCAAAAATTTGTGTTCCGTAATTTTAAATAGTTATGATTCATATACACCTTCAAATTATCTGAAAAATGAAGTATTTTTATTTCATAAAATACTCATATTTAATAAAATACTTAAGCCAAGTTTTAAGAAAAATAAATAGTGATTTATTTATAATAATAATTAATAGTTTACAATAATAATAATTAATAATGGTCGGTGCACTGATATAGCCACATATGAGGTTAGGTGTGAGGGACTAAGGTGAGTAGATGTGTGAATAGTGATGCTAAGTATGGTATAAAGGTTGATATTATGTTGTAGACAGGGCTTAATGATATATATCATTTTTTATTATATTGAACCCTTAGATCATTTATTGAAATGAGATCATATATTTGTATCATTGTTCGACATAATGATAGATAGATGGGCAGTCAAAATGCATATTAAAATATGTTCTCCATCTTCAATAGAATGAGAATACACCAACATTGATAACAAGAGTAGAACACTAACAGTTTATTGTATTTTTTTCAAACAGGATATGTAAATTCTTAAGTTCTATGGATGGGAATCAATTATTCATGTTGACCATGGAGCAATTGGAGAAAGTATGTGGGCCACAGGATGGAAAACGTCTTCACAATCTTATCATACTGCAGCGTAATAAAACTGGGGTAAGAAAAATAAAGCTAACTTTGGTTTAGGTTGCTAATGAAATATTTTATTAATTGAATGATGTAAGTGTAATAACAATTCTAATAACTTAAATATTTTTTAAAATTGTATTTATTGAAAATAAAAACTGTATAAAAATACAAAAGGTAAGGCACTGTGCTCAAATTCTCTCAGAGCAAGTTTGAGTCTGGCCGTGGTATATAATTATTTATTCAATTGAATCAGCTGTGGATCGATCCTGGGACTAGGAGACCCTCCTTGGGCATTTATACAAACCCTATAAGGAGGTTATTCTTAAATAATTAAGATGAAAATTTGATAGTTGAGTATGATCTCAGTCAAATCACCTCCTTGCATAACCGTTGGCTTAGAAACATTACTTCTTTACTTTACTTTATGATTATTATTTTAATTTATCAAGATCCTTCATGAGTTGTAATAATATAGATTATATATATATTTTTTTCACATAGAACACTTAGGACCACAATTTCATTTTTATTATTTCTTTTTTTTTGAGGTTTCCTCTTCCTCTAGCACTGCTTCCTAAAAACATTGTGCGATTGCTTCTGTTCATCCGTCCCAAGCTCTTCCAGTCCTCACAGTTCTCTCAACCTGAAATCTTTCTATACCTCGAATCATGGTCCGAAAAATATTTCTATTCAACACCTGAGCATCCAGAATGTTGGACATCTCTAGATCTTTATGGAAAATTTTAATCCATGCTATTATCTTCTTGTGAACATACAGGACTTCCACAGGAATTCGAATATCCTTCTAATTCCACTTAAAAGAAGTGCCCGAGAAATTACAATTCCTCTTTCCCATGATCACTGAGATCAGGGATGTGCATCCTCCCCAAGGTTGATGGCGCATAAATTTCCCTCTCTCCTTTCCACGAAATTTTACTGCTGTTCTTTTCTTAAAAACAGTGCAAGTGAAAGGAGAATTAGAAGAAATGTAGATCATATCCAATTACACTTGCTGTGGTCTTGTCCATGTTTCTCTTTTGTCCCTTACTTAAAATTTTTCATTCTGAAAATTGAACTCCGTCGAAGTCTGCTCCCTCAAAAATTTTAATGGCGCAATTTTCGCCATGAAACCTCCTTCTGGGCACCTCTGATCCAGATTATCTACACATTTTTTAAAATTTCATCATAGCTCTGAAGTTTCCAGCCAGTTTCAATCTGGATTGGGTCCATGATTTTCCACAATATTCTTCTTTCCCGTACCTCCATCCTTTCCAAATTGTAATTCACCAATAAGCATTCACTGGTAACAGGCATTCTGTTTTTACTACGGTGTTGTAGTACTTTGGTTTGGTGTTCCAAGAGATGCCACTTCTTATTGTAAATGTGTTTAGTCAGCCCTTAAACTCAATCCATTTTTGCAATTCGATTACTCACTGCAGCATTTCCTAGTTCGTTCTTTTCTATGGTTTCTTGGAGGTATTTGAAGAAATTGAGAATTTTATTTTAATTCCAACAAAAATACAAGCAAACAAACAGCCTGATAAATATGGTATGGTAGTGACTTATGAAAAAACTTGGTAACATTCCAGTGACAGATGTACTTTTAAAGTTCCAGAGGCCATCGCCTTTACAAAACCTTTGTGAATCATGAATTAATTGGGAAGAAAGATTAGAATCTAGTGGGTTTCAATCAATAAAGAGTTTATGTTTAGTGGAAGGAAAGATTGGGCCAAATCTATAAGTTACAGATATTAGATACTAAAGTTATTGAGGAAAATTAAATGTAAGACATAAAAAGGAGCATTGTGGATTTTCTGAAGGATTTTGGATCACATAACTGTCCTCAAACAACTACTAAGATTCCATGATTGTATTCCCCTAAAAACCAGACAGCTCCTTGTAACCTCCCTTGTATTCCCCCACTTTGACTAAGGCTGTTTGGTGTATGGAGGGCTATCTGCCAGGCTAGATATGAGACTAAAGAAACTCATGAACTGTTTCATAAGATACATCTTCGGGATCCCCAGACGTTCGCATGTATCATTCTGGTACACCGAGTTGAAGTGGCTTTATTCTAATTCCCGACAACAATTCCTCCTTGGTGCTATCCTTTTTCAAGTCCTCAGAACCAAAAACTCTCCCTATATCCTGGAACTCTTTACTCTAAGCTCCTCTATCCACTCTTGTAATACTAGGTCTCAACCTACAGATTTATATATCTCGTCCCTTAAAACTACGTCCTTCAGCAAATCCTTCGTCATTCGTTCTACCTCCTTTTGGAACTCTCTTTTTATCTCCATATGTCAATCCTCGTCCACAAATTCTTTTAAACAACTCCTGTTCCACCACCTACTCCAAATTCAAACTTCCTCTAAAATGTAAAATTACTTATATCTGTATACTGTATAATTTCAACTACTGCATAACTGCATAATAAGCAGTATATTAGTTGGTATTTTTTATTATTTTAAGCCAGACTAATACCCATAAATTTGTAACACTATTATTATTCTTAGGTGACTATAGTCCCAGAATAAAATTGTTTTTTCATTTCATTTCATTCATTCATTACATTTCATTTCATGGATTGGGTAAGAGAGAAATTATTTTGTTATTAAGTAGTAAAAGGATACACGACCTATAACCCTTTCATTTTATGATGATGATCCTTCAAGATCTTTTTTTTTTATTTTATCTAGTATTGTATTTACTGTGCTGTTTTAGCAATAAGTCAAATGATAGCTGCTACCCCAATCAGATATTCACATCATCAGTTAACTAATATTAATGACAAAATTTGTTTATTAAACCAAGAGCCTTAATTAATTAATTAACATATAATTTAAAATGGAATACTTGAAACCCAAACCCAGTTCAACTGATATACTAACGAAGAATACACATTTGCACATTGAGTATATAAGCAAATAATAAAAAAATAATCTCAGTAAAAAAAAACCAATAATTCTGCATTATTAACAGATTTTGAGACATTTTCAAAATCAAAATTTTGCTTATAAATATTTCTTCAAGAATCATGAGAATCAGTCTTAGTAAATACACAACTATATTTAGGTGATGTTTCAAAACTTAATTGTTCTCATATTCATGGTATTCAATGAAAAAAAAAGGTGAACAGATATTAAAAAAAAATTTCTTGAACACTAAAATCACTAACAATCAGTGTACACTTTAACCATTGAGATATTATATTAAATTAAAAACGAGGAAACTAGAGATCAAATTGTGCTAACAATTTTTGATAATCATGAATCACTCACTCCATTAAACATTAAATAAATGGTAAATTAAAAGTTATACATAACTAAAGTATACTAGTTGTACTAATATATTTTCGAGATAAATAGAAAAGAGGTGGCAGCATTATGGGTTATTTGGTTTTTCAGACCTTACTAGTTTTCTCAGATCATTAGGTGGTAATTTTAGTTCTATTTAAATTGCATATGTCACTATTTATATATTAGAGCATAGGTGCAGACTTTCTACTCTGGTTGGGGGGGGGGGGGAGGGGCGATGAAGCACTGTACCAAAACAATTCTTAGGAGTTTATATTACTTATAAAAATTATGAGTGTTATTAACATAATTATTGTAAAACGAAAAATAAAATAATACATATAAAAAACATATATATATATATGTTTATATTTGGTTTTTTTTTTTGTTTCTTTTAGCGTATGATTGTATTTAAAATATGTTAACAAAGCAATTGAATATATTACATATTTTTATTTGAAGGATTGTGGCAGTGAAATGAACTATTAATTCTCCGATCCTTCAGATTAGCTGAGGAAAATGTGATAAAATCTTCAAGTAAAAAAATAAGGACCCATATGAATGAATCATAAAATCCTAGGATATGTCGCTGAATATAATTATCTTTGAATATAAACTAAATTTTCAATAATAGGAACATAGAGCATGGTAAAATACTTGCATACCTACCCCTAGGCCTTAGCTTAGTCATCTAGTCAACTTTTCCTATTTTCTTAATTGATTTTAATTAAAATATTTTATTCATTCATCTAGATTAATTGTTACTAATTTTATTTTTGTACTTCTAAATATGGAGGGGAGGCAAAACTATATTCTCACTCCCTCTATATTTTTATGGGGGGGGGAGAGGTCTGTACCTATGTATTAGGGTAGAGCATTTTTTATTATTGATATTTGTTAATATATGATGTAATTAAATTTGACAGGCTTGAGGTCTGAAAAAAACCAAACAATCACTACTGCTGCCCAACCTCTCTCATTCTCCATCAGTATATTAGCAGAACTGCAATGTCTTAGAGGACTATAAGTTTTAATTTACTATCTGTTTAGTATTAATCAATGGAATGATTCAAAATTTTCAAAAATTCTTAGTATAATTTACTCTCTAGTTCCCTGGTTCTTAATTTAGTTATAATATCTCAACAGTTGAAGTGCATTCTGATTTAATCATAATTTTAGTACTTAAAATCATTTTTGAAAAAATTGTCTGAAACCTATATACTTTTTTCATTGTAGAGCACGAATATGAGAACAATAGTTTCAAAACACCTTCAAATTATAGTTCTATATTTATGAACACTGAACTATAAGATAATTAGAAAATATATATTATTTAACAGTCCAGAAAATTTATATATATATATATATATATATATATATATATACACACATACATATTCATGTATATGGTTGAGGATGTAATTGACCATAGATAAAATTTAAAAAGTGGTTGAGAGGGGGTGGAGTCAATGAACAAAACATATTAATAGGTGAAACTCATTTTACCCTTTTATCCAATTTCTTTTCATATATTAATTTTGTCAACATTTATTATTTCTATATATTTATTATTTTTTGTTACCAGTATAAAACAACAAGGTCATTGGAATTGGCTGAAAAACTTGCAGTAAGAAGACAAAAATCAGAAGTACAAGGTAAAGGAATCAAAACCTGATACAAAAGATAAACTAAAATTTATAACCATTTAATTTATATAGAAATAGTATAAATTGTAATTTATCATTCATAAACAAGAACAAACGATTTATTATTTTTTTTAATTACATCAATCTTTTATTTCATAGATGGATAGATGGAACAAGAGTAAAAAAATGGTAACTAAGAGTACTATAGAAGACAACCATGACTGTTATACAGTAGAGAAATCATAATTGATATGTATGATTACTTTCCAAGAAGAAAATGTGAGATTTTTAAGCAATAAAAGAAATTATAAATGAGAAACAAATGGGGAGCATGAATTGACAACTATTTTACTTTTTAAATCGTAAACTTTAAATTATCGTCTAAATGTAAAATAAATATAAGCTCAACAGAAACTATATTTATGAAATATAAAATATTAGCTGAAGACACTGAACATTAAATTGATTCTCTTTTTTATATTTGTAAAATATTAAATAAGTGAGTATTTTATTAATTTTAGATTGTAAATAATTAATATGAGATTATTATTCTGCATCAGGATGGTAGCAGTATTGTTAATTATAAATGTTTTATTTAATGTTAATTTTTATAAATCCTCATTCAATTAAAATCCATACCGTAGCCCGATCATGCGTATATTTATTCCTTTGCACACACACACACACACATTATATATATATATATATATATATATATATAACTTAAGATATGAATTATAGTCGGATAATAGGTCATGAAATACACTTAGATGACTTAAAACAACTTCTGTTCATTCCATTTTTTCAAAAACGTTTCGATCTCTGTTTTTTACATAAATAATGTGATCCTCTTTAGTTTTTTAATTGAGCATCGATACTCCAAACCGGGCAGCACACTGACAGACCCAACAGTACCGCCACAAGGACATGAGTAGCTTGATGTAAAAATTAGAATTCAATTGATTTAAAATTAAAAGAATAAGAATCAATTATTTTCTTATCTTATTATTTAGCCAGCACATCTGTTGATTGTTAATAGATGTAATTAACAGGTGCGGATTGAAAAATAAAAGTGAAAAAAAAAATATTTTCTGTAATATACAAATGCAAAGTTTTCATCATGTGGATGAATAAGTGTTAAGGTAAGTGAAAATTCCATTCACATTTAAGTTTATTATAACACTAAGGATTGTGTTTTTTTTTTTTAGTATTGTTCTGTTGTGTCTTTTACTATGTATAAAATAGTATGCCTAGCTATCTTAAATAGATTAACCCATTTCTGCTGTACAAATAATATGTACTTAGGATGTATTTTTCTATTTTTATGTTAATATACTTCAGAAATACATGTTTTTTAAATTTTAAAATTATTGTCATATTTCAGAGCCCAATTTTTTGGAGTGTTGCTAAACTGCACCTCTGGGTGGATAAGGGAAAAATATGTTACACCAAAATAATTCTAATTTTTATTTTTACATGCTCTTAATCAAGAATATATATATAAATATTTTTTTAAGTACAAAATATATTATTTGTTTTATTCTTTGAAGGAGACTGGATGGAGGGGCATCTCACACATCTTATATGTATAAATTGTTCAAATTTTGCAGAAGTTATTTTTGTCCTGGGAATATTTCTTTGAAAACTCAACAATCATGGGTAAAAAATAATTGTATAATTGTTTTGAAGTATAAGAACCACATTAATACTATCACTTCTCTGTTTTCTTTTATTCAATGTTCTCAGGAAAAAATTTGGACCACCTGGGTTTACCTCTGATTCGGGGGGTTCAATTGGATCTCTATATCATCAATAGTATTAGCTGAATTATATTCTGAAGTCCAATCATTATTGGGAATCTGAGCCTTAAGTCACTTCCTTTGTCGAAAGTATTTCATCACCATCAATATTTTCCTTATTGGTCAAAGTGCCAACATCAGTAACTGGTTCTTGAATTGAAAGTAATAAAATTTTTATAACTACAATAATTGGAATTTAACTTACTGAAAACAATCTGCAGCTCTGAGAGAATAACATAAAAACAAAAACAATATGTCCTGTCCACTCACAGTATTCAAAATTTATATATAAATAATATTATTATTTATAAATAATATAAACAATATAAATAATATAAATAATATAAACAATATAAATAATAAATTTATATATAAATTGCAATAAATTTATTAAATTTCATTTTTCTGGATTGTACATTTTCTAAGTTTCCAAATTTACAAATATATACTTTTTTTTTTGTTTATTCATGATATTTACAACTGTGTTAATAAATAAAATACATTTAGTAAATTTGACAACAGAAAATAACAACATGAAATCACTTGTTGAGAAACTACCCACTGGTAGCACTCTAAAAACAAAACGTATTTACAATAGGAGATCTCAAGGCTATCTTCTTTTCAGACGCCTCGGAGGGTTATCAGGGATAGAAGAGGAAGCAAGGTTAGAGAGGAGTTAGAAGATTCTGAAGTTTATTAAGGAAGGATTGGTATCTGGATTGGGCTAAATCGGAAACATAAGGAACATTAAAGTCATTTTGGATTATTTTATTGGTGACAAAGTAAGGAGCATTGAGGATTTTGGATTGTAACGATTGGATACGAGAGGAATTCGATGGCTTAGTGGAACCCCAAAGCTCAACTCCGTAAGTCCAAATAGGTCTTATTGTAGTCATGTATATGAGTCTTTTGTAATTGATTGGAAGGTTAGAGCGTTTGTCTAGTAAGTGTTGAAGTAGTCGGAAACGTCGAGCGGTTTCTTGTCGTTTCAGTCTGGTATAAGGATTCCAAGTTAGACGTTTGTCCAGATGGAGTCCTAGGTAACGGATTTGTTCAACAGGAATAAGTGAATTTAATTTATCAAAAACTAATTCTTCTGGAAGATTTAATTTTTTTTTAAATCATCAATTTATTTTACAGGAGATATGTAAACTGAAATAAAAACGATTTTTTTAATTTTTTATTTCACCTGAACTATCTTAAAAAAAATAATCATCTAATTTAAATATTTTCAAAATGGTAAGTTGTTATACTTTGGGGTTTTATTAAAGGATACTGTGGGACATGAGGTCATAGGTTTACGTCGAAGGGTAAAGGTGATTTGATGGGATTTATTAGAATTTATTTTAATCCTCCAGTTTTGACACCATTCTTCAAGGTTTGTGATGTGTGATTGAAGAGTTTGGGATGCAATAGTTGGGTCATTATTAACGGATAGGACACATGTATCATCGGCATATGTGGTAATAACAGTGTTAGGATGTCAGCTGTATAAACTGTATAAAGGACAGGACCTAGGATACTACCTTGAGGAACACCAGCGGACTGGGAAAAGAGGGATGAATAAGTATTATTGTGATTTACTTTGAAGTATCTATCAGTTAGATAGGAATGGATAATGAGGAGGTATAGGATGTAGGAATTTCCGGAGTTTGTAAAGCAGTCCCGGGTGCCAACCAACCAATGGGTGACTCGACCAAAAGCCTGTTTTACATCGAGAAAGACTCCCGTGTAGTACATTCCGCGCTCTAATGCAGAGGAGACAACATTCACCACACAATGGCATTGCTGGATAGTGGAATGGGATCTGCGGAATTCAAACTGGTGATCTGGGATTATGTGATTAGAATCTAGGAGTGGGTACAGGCGTTTTAGGATGAGTTTGTCTAGGACTTTGCCCCTGACGGGTAAAAAAGAGATAGGACGGTAAGAGAATGGGTATTCTGGTGGCTTTTTGGTTTATCTATCATTTTGATAATGGATAGTTTTCAAGGGTTAGGAAAATATATGGAACGGAGTACGGTGTTATATATGTAAGTAAGGAACAGAATGGCCTTTCAAGGAAGTAGTTTAAGGATATGGGATGTGATTATGTGGTGGCCAGAGGCTTTGCGGGAGGGTAATCTGTGAATAATATTGGATATTTCGAAAGGATGAAATGCCTTAGAAGGAGGAGTCATTTGGAGTGGAATATCCAGTTCTGCTTCAATAAATTCAAGCTGATTTGGATTGAGGATATCAGGATGTGGATTAAAGGTTTTGAAGAGGTGATGAGCAGAAAGTTTTTCAGTAAAATTTAGTCAATTTTAAATTTTTTATAATTTAATTTCTGATTTTAGTTTGATAGTCAGTAGGGTGTAATGAGTTTTATCTGTTGGATATCTAGTTCTATGCCACTTCGATCTTGGTCTGCGTTTCCCCTTTAATAAGATACGAATATACTGTGACAAGTTAGTCTTTTGTAAATTGTTAATCTTACTGTTAAAGGTGTTAATATTTATACAGTCTGTTATTGATGTTGTAAGTTTTTCTATGGCACAATTAATGTCTTCTTTTGTCTTTAGCGGGATTTTTAAGTCTAATTTGTTTTCCAAATCATTACGAAATTTGTCCCAGTTTACTCGTCCTGTGATCAATTTAGGAGATGATGGTTTAGGAGCAAAGTTAGAATGTAGTGAAAGCAGAACTGGACTATCGTCTGAAGAAAGGTCATCGAGTGATTTGATTATGGTTTGTGAGAAGGAAATCTGTGAGGTGATAAATATATCAAGGATATCGGGACGTTTTTGAACAATGTTGGCCAATAAGTAGGACTCATGGGCGAGAGGATTGAATAACTGTTGGAAAATGAGACACGTGAAAGGATGTTACCGCGGGAGTTGGATGTTCGACAACCCCATCATTGGTGTTTAGCATTGTAGTCTTCTCCAGCAATAAAGAGCGATCCGAGGGATTGGAATAAGCATTCAAGGAGGTTATAGGAGACGGAATTACCAGGAGGACAGTATACAGTTGAGAATGTGAGATAGAAGGGGCAAGTTGAAAGGACAACAGAAGTTTATTGAATAGCATCAGTTGGAGTGGAAGGAATAAGAGAGTGGGATAAAGATTTATGGATAAGGATGCAGGAACTAGCCTGGGAAGTGTTATCTGGGAGTGATCTATAAGTGATGTAGTCATGTATGTAAAAATGTGTCCATTGAAGTGAGTTTCCGTCAGAAGGGCAATATCAATGTGACTGTCATGGAGAAATAAATCTAGTTCGTCCCAGTAGTTAAGTAGTCCATTAGCGTTCCATAAAAGGATAGCTAGGGGCTTCGCATTCATCGAGGAAAGTTGAACAGGATTTCAGAAAGGAGGGAAATGGGCGATTTGATAGTCTCTTGAAGATCTATCAGGAATGTTGAAAGAACAGAATTGATGATGGAAGGTTTTTGGCTGTGAATTGGATTTGGGTCATGAGGGGGATGAGCCCGACGTAGGATGCGAGGAGTTGGATCTAAATTCTGTTGGACTTGTGATGGAGGGTTTATATCGGGATTAGGAACTGGGTGTGGACGCTCTGGCGGGTGTTTGACCCTTAAGGATAGATGAGAAGAGGGCGTCTTGCTGACGAGGAGGTTGTGGCTGAAGTTTA